CCCTCTCCCCTGGGAGGGAACCGCTGGGCAGCTCAGGGCCTCCTGGGATGTGACAGAGACTCTGCCTCTTACTGAGGCCTGAGAGGCATTGCACAGAACCTTGAGGGCCATGGATGGAATTTTATCTCCCCAAAAAGATACACTAAAGTTCTAACCCCAGTATTTCATAACGCACCCTTTTTTGGAAAGGAGATCATGGTAGACAAAATTAGTTAAGATGAGGTTTTGGGAACAGAGTGGCCCTTCATCCAACTGATCAGTGTCCACAGAAACGAGACAAAACCCTCTGAGAAGACAAGGACACAGAAAGGAAAACGCCAAGTAGTGACAGAGGCAGAGGATGAAGGGACATGGACACCAGGCAAGCACCTCCCAGGACGGTTAGCAGTCCACGAAGGCAGGGAGAAGAACACCTGGCTTCAGGAAGAGACCCCAAGAGTGCCTGGCCTTGGATAGCTGTGTCTTGGATTTGTAGCCTCCAGAATGAGAGAGCAAAGCCAGCAGATTTGTGGTGCTTTGTGTCCGCAGTTCCAAGGTACTACTTGGCAGGGACTGACAGACTTAGGCTGCCATCCAGGGAACATGCTCTCAGGGACCCAGGACAACATCAGAAATGCCAGTGCAGAGGAAGATGCAGTCATTTAACTAATAAATATATATAGTCACTCGGAGTCCTCTACTCCTTTTGAGGGTCCTTGCTCCAATCCTTTGAGTGTGTGCTCTTTAAATTCTGCCTGATGAGTCCCTTCCTAACTCATCTCTCACATTGTTTTTCTGTGATGGAAGTCAGGAACCTGTGGGAAGCCAGGTTTCCTCCTTGGCAGCTTTGAGGGCTTCTGTGGACCATATCTGGTACCTGAGTGACACTGAACCAGGTTTGAGCTCTGGAATCAGAGCTCTGAACTATGTTGTCCTTTAGAGGACAAGTTCCCTTCACCTACTGCAGTATTCCCACCTCCCTCCTGGTCTGAGCTTCTTCTACATCCCCGTCCATCATAACAGAGAGAAAGAAGGAAGAGAGAAGGAGAGGGAGAGAGAAAGGGGGAGGGAGAGGGGAAGGAAAAGGTGGAGGGGAGGGAAAGGGAGAGGGGGAGGAGAGGGGTAGGAGAGGGGGAGAGAGGGAGAGGGAGGGATAGAGCACACAAATCAACTTGCAACCTCACCATGCTGTACCACTCTCTGATCTGGGGAGGAAGAGCTCTGCTCAGGGAGCCATGCTTTAGACAGTGTCGCCTGTGTTTTTCTGGAGTGAGGGGTGAAAGAGATGTGTTGGGCCGAAAGGAAGTGCTACCCCAAGCCTGGGCCTCCAGAATTCTCTGCCCAAATGGCCATGAAGTTATACCAGAGGCCCCTCCCTGATGGCCAAGGGACAGTGTCAGATGGCAACATGGTGGAGCTTGGGCCTGTCACCTGGGATCCCTGCAGGCTGCACACAGTGCAGGTCAGGGTGGGCTTAGAAGGTGGGTGGACTTGGCCATGGGCAGAGAAGGTGAGGGGAGGAAAGTGGAAACAGACAGGGTCCTCACCACACTGTGGAACCCAGAGGCCTGAGGACTCAGAGGATTCTCAGATGCTCTCTGTTTTTCTTTCCTTTTGTAACCCCATCAAGTGCCACAGTTGACTTTATCCTTGAGGGCAGGGTTTGTTTTTGTTGGGTTTTTTTTGAGCTTTGAATTTGTATGGAAAAGGGGGCAGAGGGGAATAATGAAAATGAAAAAAACATGGAACTATTATTCTTCAACTTTTATGTATCAAACAGATGCGTTATGCAATCCATGAGGTGATGATGCATTATTAGCCAAATGAAAATTTAGTGCTTTATCTTGTTTAGTGTGCTACATGCAGGATGCATCGCTATCACCGTAAACCCTAACTTGGGTAGGTAACATTGCCAGGGACAGAGCTATAAGTGGAAGTACAGTGTGAGTCACCTTTCAGGCTGTCTACAAGTGGAGTCTGTGCAGACTTGCAGGTGGCACCTTTACCCACCAGGACAGTGCATTTTCTCATTTCCTAACCAATATGGAAAAGTTCAGACTAACAGAGCAAACTGTGCTGGGCCAGTCATTCATATTTCATTTTGGTTGAGTCAAATCTCTGGGGGGTAAATTTCAGAAATTAATTAATTATATTGTACATTTTAGATATAAATAATGATCACATTCAGTGTAGGAATTTTGGGCCTGTTCAAAATATGACTTGATTCTTTTTTTCCATTACCCTGCCCTCCCTTCAGTCCCTGGTCCCCTCCTTATTTACAAAAGCTTTGTTTCCATTTTGTCTCATTTTTTCTTTTCCCTTTCTTCTTTTACCCTTCTCCCTCACTTGTTCCCCTTCTATTTGAGCATTTGCTTTCTAGTTCACATTATCTGTTATACATTTTGGTCTTTATTTACACATTCAGATTCTCACACCTGAGAACCAAGCAATATTTCCATGTGTTGATTCACTTAAGAGTATGATCTCAAGGTGCATCCATTTAGCTGGAAATGACTCGTTTATCCTTCTTTATAGCAGAGGAACATTGCATTGTATCAAAACCCTGCGCCTTATTTATCTATTCCTCAGTTCCTGGGCATTACTGTTTCCAAGATTTAGCTATTGCAAATTTTGCAGGTATAAACATGGGTGCACATATGTCACAATATATATGATGCTTTTAATTCTTTTGGGAAGATACCCAAGAGGGGAATCAAATGGAACTTCTAGTGCTAGCTTTTTCATGAATCTGCACACTGATTTCTACAGTGGTTGTGTTGTAGAAACCAGTGCTGAACAAAAAGGAAGGCACTTGGCACTGAGGCGTTTGGAAGGCAGTGATCTATTACACTAGTGGTCCAAGAGGAATCAGTTGCAAATCACCAACCTTGACTGAGAGTGAAACAGAAGCTTATACACAGTTTGTAAGCAGGAAGTACAAAAGCTGATAGCAGGTTATCAGGTGACTGGTTATGAGAATTAAGTCATACATGGTCAGGCAGCATTAACTAAAGACAACCATTTTTTATGCGGTAGGGAAATTCTTGGAAAAGGGGTGCTGAGTGGGGCAGATAGTTAGAAAGTCCTAGAAACATGTTGGAAAAGCAGGCTACATTCTTGTGTGGGAAAATATAGCCCTTGCACTGGGACCATGGAGGCTGACCTGAACCAGGCCATCTGTGAGAAACAGCTGCGCACAGGCTGAGTAATTACTCAGTCAAGGCTGAGTAATTTAGAGTAGGTGTAATTAAGTGACAGGTGGGGGGAGCACATCTTGTCTCCATACAGTAACAGACAACTAATAGATTTTTAAAAGTTTCTTGCTATGAAATTGCACTGTAGTTGCACAAGCCTGCGCTCAGGGGTTGGTGTTTTTGTCTTAAGGACTGAGGTATGGATGATGATGTTAGTTGCTCCCATTTATGAACCCCATCCCCTTTAACCCCACAGTGTTCGATTCTACATTAAAGAGAATTGCTGCACTCTTCACCTCTGGGTCCCATCTTTATGGTTCCTGCCTTCCCAGTCCACTGCTGGGGTTGTTGCAAACTTCCAGCTGATGACATTCTCAGGGTCTGGTCCCCTGAGGAGCATGCTGGGGCTTCAACGCAGCGCTGCTTCTTCAGCTCTTCACAGTGGAAGGCAGAGAGCTGGGATCTCCTTATTGATAATCATTGCTCGGTAGATAGTATTTCCGCCCCTCAGACAGGCTAAGCTCTTGTCTGGAATGCTATTCACATGGGCTTTGCACTGACCATTCTCATCGCCTACGTTTTATCTTATGTTACTGCTTCAGAATGACTGTGTTGAGCTCTCTCTCCAAAATTAGTACACTTCCATGTCATTATTTTTGACTTTGCTAAAATTACTACACAAATGTACTCTGCCTATGAAGGTAGAGATGTATTCATTGCTGTCTTTCATACCAGACACACAGCAAGTAATCATCATATTTCTCTCATGCTGAGGCAGGAGAAGAGTCAAGTGGAAATGGACAGCAGGAATCTTGTTCACAGGGCTTCCTCCCAGTGAGAGTGCTCCTCCCTCCTGCAGTTTACAGTTTCCAGTGAGGCAGAAGATGTCAGCCAGAATGTGCCTTGACACCTCGTATAAACCAGTGGTGATATGAGTCCCTCTGGCATGTCTCTCCAATTCCTGTCACACTTCGATAATGAGGGTATGCACTGTCCTCTGTATGTCCCAGCACAGTCCAGCACCTGCTTTTGAGGCAGACCCAGCATCCAACACATAGAATGCTGAGCAGAGGGCAGGGATGGCCTGGGGCAGAACCTGCCTTTGGATCAGCAGCACAGATGGTCTCTCAGTTTCCTCTATAGAATCACGTAGGCTCTCCAATTACTCATCAAGCTGGCTGGTGCTTATGTTCACACAGCTTTCTATACAGTCTTTTTATCTCCACCAGAGAAATGCATGTTGGGTGGAGGCGTCGAGATGAATACCTGCCCACCCCACACACCTGCCTCCATTACCCACCCTTTTCACAGACACTGTTAGGATTTCCACACAGGTCTCAGGGTCTGTTTCTACCTTTTTTGGCCTTTGTTCTCATGGGTGTGCTTTCTGCATGCCAGTGTGGAATCCCAATCTGGCCTCAGGCCTCTTGAACCAGTTGTTTTTATTGCTGGGTACAATCATTCTCTTTCTTGTCCCCTTTAGCTAAAACTGTCCATGTACTTAAGGTTTAAGATGCTTTCTTCATTGTCCTTATCAAATGACTCCAATTCATATCAGATGGCCTATAACTCCAGGTAGTTTTCCTAAACAGCACTGAACAAGCTCGATGTGAGCAATCATCACAATAATTCTCTCTGCTCTGGACCAATCCATTATGTTTCCTTTCTTACCCATTAGGGTGGATGCCCAGTGTATCCCTTGGGAATATCCCGTATTTTGAGCTTCATAATCTCTGTTATATATTACAGCAGTTAACTGAATAAGTGTTGTACAGCTAAGAAACAACAAAGATGTGAAATCATGGGCACTGTTGTTTGTTTCAAGTATCGTTTTGTGTAGTGTGACAGTAATATTTTGAAAGAAGCTAACCTTAAGAAGCATAGGTAATAGAATAACAACTTCCAGTGTTTTCTGAACCCAGTTAACACAGAATCTCTGGGATCAAGAGCAGGAGTGCTCACAATGCTCAAAGCATCTGAGGAAACAACATGTGGATAAATGTGACATGGGCCACGATGTAATTCCTTGAATTCATACTGGGGAATAATGTAATATATTATGTTATTGGTGAATCTCCAAGGAGCACTCCTGTCTGTGATTTTGGGCTCTCTGTGCTTCTAGTGGCTTTCAATTTCTACTGTTTTCCAAGTTACCTTACAGGCTCTGGTACTGCATTCAGCTAGGACCAGTTTTGGTAGTTGGGTATTTCTTAGATGCTGGATGGCTGAACCCTAGGCTCCCATCTACCAACTGACTCAGCCTAGCAGCTTAGGAGTTAGTCAATTTTAATTAAGTTAGAAACAAACAGACACAGGCATGCAATAAAATATGCCAAGTTTTACTTAAAAATACAAACAGCCTTTTCTCAAAGGCATCATAAGGGGATTACAATAGTTTAAAATGAGTTAAAAACAGACCTGTTTATAAAAACAGAAGACCACATCATGTGATTAAACCAGGTAACTTTTTGTTGCTACTTCATGTCCAAGGCAGGAAGTTTCTGAAATTCTGATGAAAGCCCTGCTACGATGATTGTTGACTGCGTGGCCCATAAAAAAGAGTTGACTGTGGAAAAAACAAAGTCCATAAGCAGCTGACATTTGTTACTTATCAAACTCCCATTTCAGGGATGTCGCTCAAATAAGGGGGTGGGTGTAAGGGTGCTCCTTGGGTTCATCTGCATGGGAATGAACCAAGGAACTTTCTATAGCTGTAAGAAATGAGCTCTGTGACACACAGTCTTAAAATAGTCCTGACTTTCAGACAGGAGCAACACAGATTCTGCCTCCTAAAGATTATAGGAAAAGGAAAACAGAGCAAGAGGCAAAAATCACACACACACACACACACACACACACACACACACACACACACGTGAATCTTGTAATGTTTGAAATGTTTGAAATGGACCCAGTGATAAAACTCCAGCAATTTCATCCATTTGTTTCCTGCACACCCTCCTAACCCTGACATTTGTTCTCTTTGGGGAACTCGTGAAGAAAACGTTTCAAACTGACAACTCCAGAACTCCTAACCAATGTCTCTTGCTGTTACAGGCATTGGTTTTGGATTCTAATGTCCAACTGAACTTTGTAAAGGGAAATCTTACAGTGAGGGAAAAACATCCCAGGATAAGGGGAGAATTCTAAGACTGACAATGGCAGGGTCTTCTTCAAATCAACTCTGCATGCTATGGGACACAAGGGATGAGAGAGCGAAGGCCACACACCCCTGTGTACCCCTCTGCTCCAGAATCAGGGACCACGCAGGCCTCTGTGTGGTGGTATGTGTTGGGTTTAGGGGGTGGAGTGCTTCACTTTACCTGTTTGCAATTGCCTTGAATTTTTTTGCTTTGGTTAATAAATACTTGATTTGGCACATTACCTGTGGGCCTTGTGGGACTCCTTACCCAGTTATCCCGGAAGTGACTTTTGCCACATTTCTGGCAATATCTATATTGTACCAAGAACCACTGTTGAAGAACAGGTTTTTGGATGAAGCGTGAAGAGAGCAGAGTGTCATTGCGTAGTCCAGAGGAGCTTTCAGAAGGAAAAAGAGAAAAGAAATTAAGCAGCGACACAAAGGTTTGAAAGCTGTTGTTCCTGGGATTGAACTTCAGGCTCAGGCATCATAAAGTGGCACGCAGACCTCTCTTTGCCATGTTACCATGAGTTGCAGCAGGATTGCTATTGTTCTAATAGTGGTGTCATTGTCTGTTTGATTTCTTTTTCATTTTTCTGATTTTTTATCTTCAAAATAAAATTGAAAAAACCTGAAACTCAGTATTCTGGTTTAATTGCAGCATGGCTCTGTGATACAGAAGTGGGTTTGGGGGAGCAGGCTGGGCCCTCGGAGTCTGTCGCTGTGATGTAACACCTTAATGGAGATCTCACAGGTTCACTAATATTATAACTCTTTGCTGCTTTAAGAATAACACAGCTGTGTTGCTGTTGTTCAATAGCATCAGCCTCTCACCACATCCTCCTTTGGGGGATCATAAATCATGGATACAGAAACTGCTGTGTTAGGTTGATAAATACTCTATCAAGGAGATATTCAGAGTGTTGGAGAAATTATTGCTTGTAAGTAGTAATGAGTCTAAAACAAGACATTCCTAGAATCTCTTCAAGTTTGCTTAATAGATTAGCAAGACTGTTTGAGTACTTCTATTAAAGATGTGATCAGAGAAGACCCCATCAGGTAGGGGGACAGGGACCAGAGCTCACTCACCACTGCACAGTGACAGGACAGTGTATGATATGTTGGGCTGCTTTGCCTTGAAGCAAACCTGGGGCTCTTAGGTGTGAGAAGCTGGCAAATCCCTTACTCTGCTTCTCAGTCCTCACCTAGGAATGGAAGTGACTCCTGCATCGAGTCCATGCTGAGGATTCAGAGCTGTAGCTCTTTGAACCCTGTTGCCAGCAGAGTAGGACCTTACCTACGGTTATTGATATGAACAACGGGCAGACAGCATCTTTGCTCAAGAGCTGACACCTAGCTGAATTTATGATTTGTGAGCCTTCTAATTCTTTCCTTATTTTATTCTAATTTGCTTATGAAAATACATACTTGCTCCTTAAATCACAGAAAATCCTTTTTAATGGGCTGTTTGATACTTAAGGTCACATTTCAGCACAAAGATTTTACTGTGCAGTTGAGGATCCAGGGAATATTCGGACTCACTTGGGAAATTGACACTCCAGTTCAACTTCAGCAGTATATAATCCATTTCTCGGTATGTAATTGAGCCAGGAATGGAAGGTAACCCCATCCATGTATACCTGATGGGAAAAGAGAACTTTGTGTGATCACTTGTCAGAATCTATTTTCAGATAAAAAACCTAGCTCTTCCAACATTTGTAGAGATCCAAATATCTTCTCTAATTAACTGGCAACACAGAAGGAAATTATTATTATTTTATTTTAAAGACAATAAAGCAAAATAAAACAAAACAGAAAAAGAAGATCAGAGCAAAACAATGCAAATAACATAGAACTTCAGAATAAAACAAGAGGAAACGGTCATAGTGTTTTCTTCCAAATAGTTGCGTATACCTTCACACACAATAAGTTAATACAAAACTTAATAGTATAAAAGTAATTGAAACTAAAGAATGAGAGACTTATGGGCCTTCAAAATCAGGCAATATGTAATCAATAATGGCTACCATAATGTCTCTTGTTTTTTTCAAAATGGCTATCCATACCTTCATACATACTGATATCAAATAATTGAAAGCAGACTAAAACCAATCAAAACCAAGAATAAAAGCATTATTGGACTTCAAAACAAAATGATAGGAAATCAGCAATGGCTACCATGTTGTCTCGTTTTCTTCAAAGTAGGTTTTCATACCATCACACATAATAAAATCGATTCTTGTTAATTCTTTAGATGAAGTCTAGGTCTATATCAGCATATATATGTACTTCTATCCCAGAAAGAAATTATTAATGAGGAAATAAATGAAAAACATGCAATGCATGACTTTTGAGAATTTTGCAAGTGAGGGTGCAGTGACTGGAAAGGCCTACTATTCGCTATCTCAAAATTCTAGGAAAGAAAGATTTTTATAGGTACTTAGGAGACATTTTTTCTTATAAGGATGATTGAAAGAACAAAAATATTATGACACTTTGAAACACTTTATCTGATACTTCTGAACTAAAATATACTATTTTCCCTTTATTTCTCATTCCCAAATTGCTGAACATATTAGGTGTTTAAAAGGAAAAGTAGCTAGTTAAAAGTGATGGGAACCATATATTTCAGAGCCTGAGTGAGAAAAAAATCCATGCCTTGGTTTGTTAGTTAGCCAGGAACAGAATATGGCTAACCAACTAAATTTTCTGAACTTAAAATATATACTTATCATAGGGAACATTTGAAATATGTTTAGTGGTCAATAAATGAAACAATTCCATTGATTATAGGAAATTCATATTTCAATTTCTCTGTTTATATGTAATCCACTTTGGCCTTTTTTTCCCTTTACTTCTGCTATAGCAATCCTGCTATTGCTATTTTTGCTACTGCAATTAATGTGTTTTTTTTATTCCTACTTGCAAAGAGATTCCCATGTCATTAAATTCTTGAATAAGTTGATTAGCTGCACACAATTCTATATGAGGACCCATCTGCTTCCATTGGGGTGAAGTTGGTTTATCTCATTCAGCTATTAAAAAGATTTAAGATAGAGAAGACAATTTTAAAGGTATAAAGTACTCTCATTATATTGTCAGACTATAGACTGTTTCAGTTGTAAGTATTTAAACTTCTGGGTGAAAGTTTGCATAGAACAAGGGAGAAGAGAAAGTGACTAGGGTTTTTTTAGACCATTTTCCCAACCTGGACCCCAGGAGCATTCGAGGCCAGATAACTCTTTGTTGTAGAAGACCATGCAATGTCCTGGCAGCATCTCTGGCTTCTGAAGCATGATTGGTGTGTTTTCAGTGATATTTTTGAATGAGAGAACAAGCAAAGTCTAGTTTTAGTTCAAGACCTTCCCAGCTCATTCCTTCCTCTGAACCTCCCTCCCTGGAAATTTCTTTTGCCCTTGTTATCCAATCCATTTTGCTTGTCCCAGAGCTGTTCTCACTGAAAACACAGCAATTAGGCTAGGCAGCAGCACGCTTGGTTCTGCTAAGCACTAACTCCACACTGCTGGCCTTTATGCCTCAGTGCCTTGCTCTGATGTGGGGATAGCACCAGTCTCACAGGGTTACAGGAAGAGCCTCAAGTGTAGCTACCTTCCCATGCTATGCATGCCACACCTGCCCCACCGCACAAGCTGTGGGCTCCTTGAGAGACAGATCATCAAGTTTATCTGCTTAGAGGCTCAATTTCTTTCACATAGCAGTCCTCTGATGGGCAAATGAAAACAACAAAAACAGTCATGTGTCCTCCTCTGGGGAGGAATACCTGTACCATATTATAATCCAAATACAAATCAGCCTTCCCGAGGATGTTATAGATGGCACTGGGTAAAAAGGTTGCTTCTCTTACCAGCATTTTAATTCCACAGAGGTTGACAGGATAACTGAAATGAACTTCATCTAATAGCACAAGAGAAGGCCCACAGCCGGTCCCTAAAGATAATTCGTCAGGGTATACCAATTGATCTGCGCCAAACATTGTCGTTTTAGCAATAGCATGGAAATTAAAACGGGTGCACTGCACCGACACTGTTAAAAGAGAAGAGAAAACAATCAGCTTAAAGAACAATTTAAATTTGAGTGGGAATAGGCCACTTGAAGGAAACCCACATGAATACCCCTCTTCTCACTGCTTTAAGGGTTCCTGTCCTTACCGCCTGTCCCCCAGTGGCCACCATCAAGTTGCACTATGCTCAGAAAGAACCCTCAGAGCTCTATCTGGTCCAGGATCCTAACGTGATGTCTCTATAGAACTTGAGCCCTTTGCTGACAGATCACACATTTAAGTCTTTAGCCATAGCAGTGTGCCACAAGATAGCTGATATCCACTATGTGACGAGATTAAAGTGACAAGGTCGAAGAAGCAGGACAGAGCCAGGACTGGGAATTGTGCTGGCTTGTCACTCTTGGGACTGAAATCCTGGCATCCCAGGAGACCAGTATGTTGTATTTATGCTGGTGTGGACCCTTCTCCTGAGTTTTAGGCTCATTTCTCTGGTTAGCTACTAGATATGAAGAATATACTTGAAATAATCCTTTCAAAAGGGACATTTTTCAATAGAGAACTCGTAATTTTACCCAATTTCCTGTATATTTTCTCTGTAGGGCAGTCAATAGCACCATAATCCATCCAATATCCAAGCCAAAAGAATTTAGAATTTATTTCCAATTCCTTCTTTCCTTTCATAGGCACAATCTACTCTACCCAAATCTTTTCACTTATTCCTTGGAAGTTTAGCTCACACCTGTTCATGGTCACAGTACTGCCATCTCACTTGGGATGGGTCAGCAGCCTCCTACAGGAGTGCATTGCCTCCAGATTCCCTCTCTTTTTAGGATGGCTGTGGACACAACCACTTGACCAGTGTGTATGCAGATTTCTCCTTCCTCTCATAATTTGCATAAAACCTGAAATCTCTGTGGCCTAGAAAACCCTTATTCCCTTTCACTGAACTTCCAGCCCTTGGAAAAACAAGCATCTTAAATGTCCTTTTTGTGGTGCTCTGGGAAGCAACTGGACACCTGGAATCAAGGGCAGCCTGGGGTCAGTCTTTGTAGGACACAGAAGGCCAGTCTGTGCCCCACCTTCGTGGCTGAAGGGAAGCACTGGAGAGTTTAAGAAGGACTGTGCAGAGTTGTAGCTTAAGAAAAAATAACTCTGGTAACCCAGATGGGAAGAGAGGCAATGGGGTAGGGAGACCAGTGTGGATATGTGGTTGAGTAATTCAGGGAGAGTCATGTAGAAGAGCAATCCTCCCACAGGTGACTTCCTGGGAAATTCCAAGTAGGAAAAGTGAGGGGTGAGGAGGTGGAATAAACTGTGGGAAAACTCAGAGAACATAACAGCAACCTGAGTACAGGATTCATTTGACACCTTTTGCTGGACCCAAGGAGAGAATAAAGCCTGGCACTGGTGAGAATTACTAACTGTAGAATGGGACAATAAATTCTAGCAACCAAAAGTCTTAGGACTCCCAGTTATTAAGAAATTACCCCTTCAAAGCACCCCAGTGCATGTTCACTCTGATACCTCGTTCTTGCCCAGAGCAAATCCACAGGAAGGAAAGAAGTAGCAGCAATGATTCTTCTATCCTGAGCAAAGCCTTCATCATGCTAGCCATGGGGCTGAGACTTCCTTAGTCAACAAGCAAAGGAGAACTTGGAACTGGGGAGTCAGAATGCTTTTATACCTAAGGCTGCTCAGGTGTGTGCAGTTCACCCAATTCCCAGAGGAGAGTGGTTACCACTTTTCTCTGATCACTGTCATAGATGGGAGAAAGAAACAGATCTCTGGACACGGGTACTTTTCATGTTTTCCTGCTGTCTTGAATTTATCACCTATGGCCTGGATGAAGGATTAGTATTTGGGAAATCTGGTTGATCTTAAGGAGAGGCCTAAGGAAGGGTCCACACACAACACCTGAAGTCATTGCAACCAGGAAGCCAGGGACAGCAGCCCAGTTTCACTTGTTATTTACATCCTGAGGTTGGTTTGGTTTGGGCAGCATGAGGGCTGTCTTGAATGCGCTTCGGTTTGTCAACTTGTTCCTGGGACTGTTTTTGGGGGCACTGCACCAAGAGGTAATGATAGATATTTGAGAAGTTTGTTCAAAAGAGATCTTTTATTAGCATTTGAGCACAGTGACGTGATTCATCTGTGTTGAAGCTTTAACTGGCTGCTTATCTTTTTTTTTTTTTATTTAAGAGGAAAAAGAGAAAAACACAAAACAAACCAAAGCGGCGTAAGGGTACACGCAATACAGAACTACAAAACAAAACAAAACAAAACAAAACAAAACAAAACAAAAAACCATAACAGTAAGAAATTACCTGCTAGTAGATTACACACTATTTTCTTGAAAATAGTTCCTCAAATCACAGTATCAAAGAACACAAGGTGGACATTCAAACAGGGAGACTGCAAACAGCTGTGTTCAATGTTCCAAAAACATTGATAAAGTCAGCTATTTAACACCCCCAAACACACTTGCTGTTATATCCGTTAGAGCTCTTTTTCTTTTTTGTTTTTCCCTCTCTTTTTTACAACAAAATTTACACATCTTGGATTTTATTACTCCTTAGTGCTTATTACTTTCTTTGGGGGGGGGTGGAAGAATACAGTCAAATATGGCAAAACAAAGCTGTCAGTCAATACCAAGGATAGACATAGCACATGGTGTAGAACAGAGTACAAGTTTATCAACAATGGTTATCAACGTTGTCCCTTGTTTCCTTAAAAAGAATTGTCTATCTTATTAGATATTATAAAGTTGGACAAAACAGTAGAGAACAAGACCAATAAAACTTAGGCATTGTAAACATTACAGGACTTCCAAAGAAGACAATAGTCAAACCAGAATGGGTATCTTAGTGAATCTTATTGTCTTCAAAGTAGTTGCCTATGTCTTCAAACTTGATACTATCATATAGAATGGAACAGAGTCTAATCAGTCAAAACAAGATCATGGGAGTACTACAGGACTTCAAAACAAGTTAATAGGAAATCGAAAAGAGTTACTATTTATATATCCTAATTTTTTTGAATTTTTTCTTTAATTAAGACAAACATAAGAAATGACTAAATAATTTTTTTTGAAACAATAAGGGGGAGATTGAGATAAAACAGGACATAACAATATAACAATAGAGGTCACAGCATGACTGTTTCAATAACCTAGTACTTCACCACCTTATAACCTGACTTAATAGTAGTTACCATAGTGTCTTTTTCCTTGAAATATTTGGGTAAAACTTCATATACTCTAGCTTCAAATATTTTCATATCAAGAAGCCCAGAATAAAGCCTTTCTAATTAATGAGTGAAAACTTTATAAGGCTTCAAGGCCACCTAATGGGGAATCATGATTACCACATATTTTTATATATTTGAATCATTATTTACATTAGGGAAACTATTCGGTATTCACACATGCAAGATTGATTTATTTCACTTATGAGTATGGTCTCAAGCTGTGCCCATTTATTGATAAATATCTCAATGTGATCCTTCTTTATAGCTGAATAATACTCCATTGTATAGAAATACCACAACTTTTTTATCCATTCCTCAGTTGATGGGCACTTGGGTTGTTTCCAAGATCTGGCGATTACAAATTGTGCTGCTATAAACATAGGTGCACATATATCACTGTGGTATGATGCTTTCAGTTCTTCTGGGAATATGCCTAGAAGTGGAATAGCTGGAATAAATGGGATTTCCAGTCCCAACTTTTTGAGAAATCTCCAGACAGATCTCCACAAAGGCTGTACCAGTCTACACTCCCACCAGCAGTGCAGGAGAGTTCCTTTTTACCCACAGCCTCTTCAGCATTTGTTGTCGGTTTTCTTGATCCTGGCCATTCTTTCAGGAGTGAGATGGTATCTCAGTGTGGTTTTAATTTGCATTTCTCTAATGACCAATGATGATGAGCATTTTTTCATGTATTTATTTGCCATTTGCATTTCTTCATCTGAGAATTGCATATTCATCTCAGATGCCCATTTTTGGATTGGATCTTTGAATTTCGGAGGTCTGAGTTTCTTTAATTCTTTGTATGTTTTAGACAAGAGGCCCTTGTCTGAGAGAGAGTTCACTAAAATCTTTTCCCAGTTTGTGGGTTTTCTTTTCACTATGCTGGAGATTTCTTTTGACATGCAGAAACTTTTTAATAAGAAGTGGTCCCAGTTATTGATTCTGGGAAGTATTTCCCGTGCGGTTTGAGTCCTGTTCATGAATTCTTTACCTACTCCTATGTCTCCAAGGTTTCTACCTATTTTGTCTTCCAATAGATTTAGTGTTTCTGTTTTAATATTCAGATCTTTGACCCATTTAGATTTTAATTTAGTACATGGTGATAGACATGGGTCTAGCTTTAGTTTTCGGCAAATGGAGAGCCAGTTTTTCCAGCACCATTTATTAAAGAGACTGTCGTTCTTCCAGTGAACCTGCTTGGCTCCTTTATCAAAAATAAGGTGGTTGAGTGTGTTCGTAGTTGTGGTTGTATCTTCTAATCTATTCCACTGATCTTCAGCTCTGTTTTGATTCCAATACCATGTTGATTTTACTACTGTTGCTTTGTAGTATAACTTCAAGTCAGGGATTGTGATGCCTCCTGCTTTGTCTTTGCTGCTTAGAATTGCCTTTGCGATTCTAGGTCTCTTCTGGTTCCAGATGAAATGTAGGAGTGATTTGTCTAGATCTATAAGGTATGTTGATGGTATTTCTATTGGGATTGCATTGAATCTGTATAACAGTTTTGGGAGAATGGCCATTTTCACAATGTTTGTTCTTCCTATCCATGAGCAAGGGATGTCTTTCTATTTTCTGAGATCATCTTCAATTTCCTTTTTCAGTGTATTATAATTTTCACTGTATAAGTCTTTCACTTCTTTCGTAAGAGTAATTCCTAAATATTTCATTTTTTTGCTTGCTAATGTGAATAATCCAGTTTCTCTTATTTCCCTCTCTGTAATTTTGTTGTTCGTGTATAGGAATGCTATTGATTTCTGAGTATTGATTTTGTATCCAGCCACATTACGGAAATTATTTATTGTATCTAAGAGTATTTCAATGGAGTTTAGGGGGTCTTCTATGTAGAGTATCATGTCATCTGCAGACAATGATAATTTAACTTCTTCTTTTCCTATCTTTACCCCTTTTATTTCTCTTTCTTGCCTAATTGCTCTGGCTAGTACTTCCAGTACTATACTAAATAGGAGTGGTGATAAAGGACATCCTTGTCTTGTACCCGATTTTAAAGTAAAGGCTTTCAATTTTTGGCCATTTAGTATGATGCTGGCTGTTGGTTTGTCATAAATGGCCTTTATTATATTGAGGTATAGACCATTTATTCCAATTTTCTGTAAAGTTCTTATCATGAATAAGTGTTGGACCTTATCGAAGGCTTTTTCTGCATCTATAGAGATGATCATGTGATTCTTATTTTTGGCTTTATTGATATGGTGGATTACATTTATTGATTTGCGTATGTTGAACCATCCTTGCATTCCTGGGATGAATCCCACTTGGTCATGGTGTATAATCTTCTTGATGATTTGCTGGATTCTATTTGCCAATATTTTATTAAGGATTTTTGCATCTGTGTTCATTAGGGAGATTGGTCTATAGTTCTCTTTTATAGTTGGGTCTTTCTCAGGTTTTGGTACTAGAGTAATATTTGCTTCCAGGAATGACTTAGGAAGGATTGCTTCCCTTTCAATTTCATTGAATAGTTTGAGGAGCGTCGGCATTAGGTCTTCTTTATATTTCTTGTAGAATTCTGCAGTGAATCCATCTGGGCCTGGGCTCTTCTTGGTGGGCAAGGACCCAATTACATTCTCAATTTCATTAGCAGAGATTGGGTTATTCAACAGTTTTATATCCTCTTGATCTAGCTTTGGTACTTCATATGCTTCTAAGAATCTGTCTATTTCTTCTGTGTTATCAAACTTTTGAGAGTAGAGGTTTTCGAAATAGGTGTTGATGATCCTCTGTATTTCTATTGGGTCTGTAGTGATTTCTCCTTTTTCATTTCTTATTGCATGAATTTGAGCTTTTTCTTTCCTTTTTTAAATAAGGTTGGCTAGGGGCTTATCGATTTTATTTATTCTTTCAAAGAACCAACTCTTTGATTCGTTGATTCTTTGGATTGTTTTCTTAGTCTCTATTGCATTGATTTCTGCTCTGATTTTTATAATTTCCTCTCTTCTTTTGGCTTTGGGCTTGACTTGCTCTTCTTTTTCTAGCTGTTTGAGGTGTAGCATCAAGTTATTTATTTGTATTCGTTCTGTTTTCCTGATGTGGGAACTCAGTGCAATAAATTTTCCTCTCAGAACGGCTTTCATTGCATCCCACAGATTCCGGTAAGTTGTATCTGTATTTTCATTTTCTTTTAGGTATTGTTTAATTTCTTCTTTAATTTCTTCTGTGACCCACTGATTACTCAAGAGTGTGTTATTTAGTTTCCATGTGTTTGCGGAATTTTTGCAGTATCCTTTGCATTAATTTCTAATTTCAGAGCGCTATGATCCGATAATATGCAAGGGATGATTTCAACTCTTTTGCATTTGCTTAAATATGTTCTGTGAGCTAATATATGGTCTATTTTAGAAAATGATCCATGTACTGCTGAGAAGAATGTGTATTCTGATGTTGTTGGGTGGAACATTCTGT